TCCCTTCCACCAAGCCCGTGAATGAGGTAAGGAGAGCTACGTTTCCACAAACACACACAAGCCGATTGCAAAAGCCATTCACCACCCCCTTCCTCCTCCCCCGGTTTGCTTGGCAGAAGCCGAGCTGCGACAGCGCGTCTCAGCATCTCACGGCTGGCTAGTTATTGTCTGAATGGCGTGCACACGCAGGACAGCTGATCGGCTTGCAACGCGCGTCGCGGCGGAGCTTCGCTGGGGGAGGAAAATGGTGTTGGGTGTTTATATCTAGGTCTATGCGTGCACGGGGAGGCAGGACGGGCAGAGTCCTGAGACGAAACCGGGTGTTGGTTAAGGCGCAATCCTGCAACAGTACTTTCCCGGGAGTCAGTCGCATTGGAGTGAATGGGGTTTCAGAGCAGAGACGTGTGGATTTGCGCGCGCCCCCCCTGTTCCTGGGTTATTTTCTTTTTGACTCGTTGCTTGCAGGCGCTGCAGCTTGTGGGGAGGTGAGGGCTGCCGAAAAGCGTCTCGGAGGCGACGACCTGCGTGTTAGATGGTCGTTTGAAAAGTTGCAAGGTCTGCCGGTGTCGGATGCGCTCTTGCGCTTTTCTTTTCTTTTTTTGCCTTCCCCGTTTTTCTGTGCGTAGGTGTTTTTTTCTTTCTTTCTTTACGCTTATTTCGTTGTGAGTTATTCGGTTTGGAGGAATCGGACCGAGAAGATCGCGCTCTCGGCTGCAGGCGAGAAAGCAAACGTGCGGGGTTTAGGGCTGGGAGAGCGAACCAGCCAAGTTTGGATTCGGAGCGGTTCCCTTCGCAAGGGCTGGCTGCGCTTTGGGAAGAAAGCGGCGGTTGCGGAGGGAGGGCTGCTGGGCGACAAGGAGACGGAGAGAGATGCTGCTCTCTTGAAGGGCCAGCCGAGCAGGAGAGAAGGAACAGGAGGAGGATGAAGGAGCCAAGAGCCCTGCGGACAGCTGGGGGGTTTTGGTCGCAAGACGGTTTTGCAGCACGGGTAGGGGTGGGAGTGCTTGTTTTTACCCCTCTGGCGGTACAGAGGATTAGAGGAGGGCTGGAAATCGGTTATGAACCGGCAGGGAACGGAGAGCAGCAACTGGCACCTGGTTTTGTGCTGGTGTGTCAGATCTGAGCAGCAGCAGGTAAAACCTTGGAGGTCCGCAGAGCATTGGCTGCCAGGTTGGTTCGGAATTCCTGAAAACTCAGGCTTGCCATTGCTTGGAGAGCCTAGGAGCACAGGAACTCAGACCTTTGGCCCATCAAGCTCAGTACTGTCCACACTGGCTGGTAGCAGCTCTCCAGAGTTTCAGAAAGGGGTCTCTCCAGTCCTACTTGGGGATTGAACCAGGGACCTTCGGCAGATGTTTCACCACTGAGCTGCAACCCTTCCTCTAGGAAGCAGGTCCTCTCCACCCCAGGATAGGTGAGTCACAAGGCTGTGATGCATCTGGCTGCTGGGGTTTTTTTAGGGGCACGGGAGCATTGAGGATTTGCAAACGCTCAGAAGCTGCTTAGCACTCCAAGGCTTTAGCTTTGGCATTGCAAATACCGGTAGGTTCCGGTGGTGCAGACCTGGCAAACCTTGAGAGGGGTGATGTGCCCACCTGTCGGTTTCTGCTCAGCCCAGGGGCATCTTATCCTCCTGGAGGGGCTGGCAATCTGGGCAGAAAAAGGTGCTGACCCACACTGCCACGAGATGGTTGTGTGAGTGTGAGTATTTGGGACATGGGGAAAAGGGGGTGGTGTGTAAAACTCCCATGTAGGCATCGCTTTGCAAATTGGTTGCAGGGATCTTGGAGGTCCCTGGATCACCGTCCTCTGTTGCTCTCCTCCTCTGTAAATCTTTGTATCTGGGAACTTTGTCGACTGGAGAGGCAGGGACACATGCACACACACTAATAAATCAAATGAAAAGGTCTGGCCCCATGACACTAGCAACTACCTGGGTCACTTGGGAACGGCTGTATTTGTCTGAGAGCATCACATACACCGCCTCCATGAGCATCATTGTAAATGACATTGCCAGGGATGCTGGTGGTACAGCTCTCCTCTCCTCTGTTTTGGAGCTGTGCATAAGTTGCTTGGATTAGTTTGCATGCAGGAAAACACAGGCTTGGACCCCTGTTTCTCTGTATGTATGTGTGTCTCCCCTACTCTCTCCAGCCCACCTGCTAAGTGCAAGCCAAACTCTGAATGATTTAGTGGCTAGCCTTGGTGGAAGCAGTCTGCTGCTTCCCGTGCTCCTTAGTAGCCAAGCTCTGGGAGATAGAGGGAGCTCTATTACAAGCTACCCATCAATTATGGATAGAAACAAATAAGGGAGTCAGTTCTGAATTAGCCCCGCGTAGTGGCAAGGACTGCCTTTCCTCCTCCCTTCCATCTCAGTCTCCTGTTGAAATGGAAAGAAGTGAAACTTCTCCTTTCATTTCCCCTCCACACCTATTTGCTTTATATATTTCTAGAACAGCCACATCTGATCCAGCCGCCTTAACAGCGTAATTAGAAAAAGCGTTCAAGAAGCTCCCCCCCCACTCCTTCACAGTCCACCCCCCCTTTCATAATTTGTAAATCTTGCATAGAAATTCTGACTCCACCAGTTCCTCTGAAGTGGAAAATGTTTCATCGTCCTTAAAGGGAGCTCCTTTCTCAGTCTATTTGATTTGGGTGGTTGCAAGACAACTGCAAATAATTCAGAACAAAGATGAATACGTTTGGAACAAAGCACCTGAATGGGTTGCCCCCTGGAAATGCTACCCTGAAACTGGAGGTACTCGCTTGCAAGTGAACAGGCTTTGGCTGGGGGTAGCTTGCAGGCAGAGGATGCTACTGAGTCACTATGCTGCAGTTTGTAGCTGCTCTCCTGCTTAGTCCCATTAACAGTGCAGTTCCAGAATAGCACAAGTTTCCTGGTCTCCGAATTGCCTGATACGGTTGCTAAAGCTGCATTTGCCATACTATGATTTCTGTTGAACATATATTAATAGTGTTCCTCTTCTTATGCACACAAACACACACACAAAACCCCATCTCTGTTAGGAGAGATAGGGGCGAGAGATGTAGCGGGAATAGACTGGGGTAGGCATTTTTATTCGTTTTTGTATGCATCAGCAGTAATGTGACTGACTGGTCACTGGCTGAATGTGATATATAGATATAGATATAGTATGCAATTAAGACTGTAGTTTCTGTGTACTGTGCAATTAGGACTGCTGGTTTAAAGAGATGCATCCTTTATACCAAGAGCAGCCACAGCAAATGCTCACTTACCAAAATGACTCACACTGTGAACGGCTATAAACATTGTCTTTAACAGATTTAGAGATGATTTGCTGACTTGAGATCCGCACTGAAAGTTCTTACCAAGCAATCCTATGCATGTTTACTCAGATGCAAGCCCAGTTGGGCTTACTCCCAGATCAATGTGCATAGGACTGAATCTTTAGAAAAGAAGGCTGTTGTTGATGTTCATGTTTTTATTTTAAAAATTGCGTTGCTGTTGTGTGGGATTGCTCCCAAACTGATGAAATGATTAAAAAAAAAATCTGAAAACACTTTTCTTCGGCAAAAGTCTTTCAGAGAATATTTGCTATATGGAAGAAAGGTCTCTTCACCAAACTGCTGCAATATTACTTTTGTTGTGAAAGAGGGTTAGCTGTTTTTAAGTTCTGCTAGGGGGAGTTTTGAAAACCTCAGCACCATGTAGCATTGCATATCTGACTCAGTAAATGAAGCTGTGCATAACCATGTATAATGGGGTGAATGACAGGCATATTCTGTTTGGTTGGCAGATATCTCATAAACATTTACTCTGGCTCAAAAAAGCAGAAATTTCCAGATGAGTTCTGTAATCCTCCCCCCCACCCCATTTTCTGTCGTAAACCTTAAATGCGTTTTGTAGTATCTAATCGAAAACTCAGCTGCTTTAAAAAAAAAAAGCTGTTCCATTTGAAATCCATTAACATGTAGAAATTTTAAATTTATGTTCAAAAGGAGAGCCAAAAGTATAAGCCAGAGGCTGTTTAAGCATCTGCTTGATTTCATTGGCATCCTTAGTTACACCAAACACTTCCCCAGCCTTCTCCTCTTAACTCTGCAGTCTGTCACTACCTGTGCTCTTCAGGCCAGGACAACATCATCTTCAAAACCTGCTTTGTGTGATGCAGCCATCTCTGCCAGGAATCCAGCGACAGCCTCAGCCTCTGTTGTGCTAGCCAGCTATCTGAATGCATCGGGTTTTTTCCAAAACACCAGAGCGCTTTATAGTGGTCCATCTGAACATTTTTAGTTCAGTTTAGGCTGCTCAAACACCAAATATTTAAAGTACATTCAACCTACGCACCCCCTCCCAATAATCCTGGGAATTGTAGTTTACCCTCCACAGGGCTGTAATTTTGGCCCCCTTAAACTACAGTTTCCAATATTCTTTTTTTGGGGGGGGGTCCTTAAAGGTACAGCATGTACACAGCCCTTGCTTGTTTGTTTGGCAGCTTGATCTCAGCAGTTTGTTACAGCAGCGGGTCCCGTTTGCTGCGTTCTTGCATTTTCCTGAAAACAGCCAGTCTGAACACGTCCCATCCATTTGTGCAAAACTGAGTTACTGTATTTGGTTAAAAGGAATACAATGCAGCAAAAGAGTGGTGGGGGGTGGGGCGGACGACACCTCTTCCAGCTTTTAAATTTTTTTTTTAAAAAATCAATGTCGCCATACCTGTGTTGGTTACAGTCAACCCAACCCATGGCTTAGAACATCTGGATTTATTCTGTAATGAATCACAATTTAATACCTTGGTTTCCAAGGTGGGATGCTTTTAAAAATTGCTTCCATAAGTAGGCAGCCAGCCAGCCAGATGCTTGTGGAAAGCTCACAATCTGGATGGGAAGGCCACAGCTCACCTGCATCGATGGTCTCCAACATCTGCTATTCCACAATTTAGCTGATGCTGTCAATGATAGCCATTGATTGACCTCTCCTGCATGAACCTGCCCAATCCTGTCTTTTTTAAAAAAGAGTCTGGATAGCTCTGTTGATTAGAGCGTAGTGCTGATAATGCCAAGGCCGCAGGTTCAATCCCTGTATGGGACAGCTGTGTATTCCTGCAATTGCAGGGGGCTGGACCAGATAATACTCAGGGTCCCTTCCAGCTCGAAGAGTCCATGATTCTAAGCCAGGGGTCAGCAAACTTTTCAGCAGGGGGCCAGTCCACTGTCCCTCAGACCTTGTGGGGGGCCGGACTATCTATCTATCATCTATCTATCTATCTATCTATCTATCATCTATCTATCATCTATCTATGTATCTATATAATGAACCAATTCCTATGCCCCACAAATAACCCATAGATGTGTTTTAAATAAAAGGACACATTCTACTCATGTAAAAACACACTGATTCCCGGACCATCCGTGGGCCGGATTTAGAAGGCGATTGGGCCGGATCCGGCCCCTGGGCCTTAGTTTGCCTACCCATGTTCTAAGCCAGTCTTCCCATCACCCCTAGCTAGCAAGGCCAGAGCTCAGGGATGGTGGGAGTTGTAGTCCAGCAACATCTGGGGGCCCATAGGTTGAGAACCACTGTATAAGCTATCTGTGGTACTGGCCACAACCGCAACCTTGTGGCTGTGAGTTCCATAAGCTGGTTGTGACACGTTGCTTCTTTTTGTTTGTACTCCTGTCTCTGTCACCAATAAACTTGGCTGGGTAAACCCGATTATCCTGGAAGGGAGAAAACAATGTTTCTGTTCTGTTTTAGATTTTACAGAAAAGGCAACATTAAAATGAAAAAACACCCCCATTCAATCACTTCCATTCTCCCTTAGGATTCTTAGATTTAAGACAAGAGCTTTGGGAATTCCCATTCCATTCCTTCCCGTACTCAGCAAGAGAACGCTTCCAGCCCAGCACTTGTCCATGCCATGTAAAATATGGGAAACATTTACATTGTAGTCTGTCTATTTCTTGCATTCTTTCTTAACTGACATTTTCAGCTTTGTTGGGTTGTAAAGTACTTTTCTTTTTGGCAAGGTAAAGAGAAAACGAGAAGGCGGCTGCATATTTACTTATTAAACATACCTATAATTCTAGTCCAGAAAGTCAACACACATCTCATGGCTGCAGAAATTAATAATTTACCCCAAGAGCAGCTAAGGAGAAAGAGGACAGGAGAATGTTTACTGTGGTGGAGTGTGGTGTTAATTTCAGTCAGGAAAATCCTGAATCTAATTAAAACAGCCCAAATGTTGCTTTCATCAAAACTACTGGGAGGACAGATGATCTCTCTTTATGCCTTCGATAAGCTGCAGCAGTTGCCATTAAAATCCATCTAAGCTGTTTTATTAAGTTGTTACTCTGCTCAGTGAATAGCTGCCAACTTCAGGCTGAAAAGAAAGTATGTTCAGATTTGTTCCCATGTCACATGGAAGAACAGTTCAGTGAAAAATCACATTACTAGCTTTATCAAACTGTTTTTCAATAGGGGTGTGTGAGAGAGAGAGAGAGAGAGGGGGAGATGTCTGTTTTCTGTTCCTGGTCATGCCTTAAAGCAGCTGTTGGCTCATTTATTGTGAAAAAAATATTAAAAGAGAGGAGAAGATGCTTCCGTTCCAAATGTCAGTGTTTATATAACAACAAAGATTAAATCTGAGGGTTCAGTGTGGATTTGTTACAGTAAATTTAAGAACATTAATTGGGAAAGCCAGGGAACACGCACAGTATCTGGTAATTGTTGCACATTAACAAGGAGGATTTGGGAAATGTGCATAAATTTATACACATAATTAATTGCAGTTAACTGCAGTTTAAGACAAAGATAAAATTAAAACAAATTCTATCAGGAATATAGTTGTTGTATGGAGTTGTACGCATCAATGAATGTGTTTCATTTCTCCCACAATGGAGGATATTGCTATTTGTGCTATTAACAGCACAATTCAATTCTATTCATGTCTACTCAGAAGTAGGTGCATGTAGGATTGCCACCCAGTGCAGGCATACTCTCTAGCATATCATGTTAATATGCTCACATGTTGGTTATTCTGCACATTCTCCAGCTATTCTCATTCACTGGGGCTAATATTAACTCCACTTAAACTTGCATATATAAATATTTGCGTGTGCATAATAAGATATCGAGGTGTGCTTCTTTCCTTAATTTTTTCTATGCCCGTCACGCTTTGGTTAACTAAACTAGATTTGCATTTTAACAACCCTGAAGTGAACTTCTGCCATTCTTTTGACTTGGACACTCTGTGTTGCTCATCCATCATCCTGTCTTTGGCCACACCAGGCTACTGGCTCTATAACCATTTGAAGAAACCATCCGACTGTGAACAACACAGCTGGCAACAGCCATTTTTTCTTCCACACCACTGGCAGCATTGTCTGGCTATGGTAACTAAAGTTAACATCCATAACGGGCAGTTTCTTTTGTGCTGGGTACTTGTAGGCCTGCCTCAACGCAGCTTAGCAGGCACACCTGCCGAGCGGAAGGGGGAAAGAGGAAGACCACACCCACACCATCCATTTAAAGCACCCTTGTAACCACTTCAACAGTCGTGGCTTCCCCCAAAATGTCTGGGGAACTGTAGTTGGTTAAGGGTGCTGGTCTCACAAAGCTACAGTTCTCAGCACCCTTTAATAAACTACCATTCCTAGGATTATCCATGACTGTTGAAAGTGGCGTGAGAGTGTAGATGTGACCACAGCTACAAAATGATTACTAGAAAACATAAGGCGCGATGAAACTCTCAGGGAGTAAGCATCAGTTCTGTTGGTGATGTGGTATTTTCTAAATCAAACTATTTGAAGTCAGTTCCCCATACCTATTCAGGATTGAATTTGGAAGTCGAGGGCCTTATTTTGGAATATGTAAAAGAGGCACAACTTGATTTAGGCTGCTAACCCTAGCCCAAACGATATCCTCTCAAAGGTAAATCCTGTTGGGTTGTAGTCAACGTTAGTCTTACTCCAAGTAGACCCATTCAAATTAATGAACACAACTAGCTTAAGTTGGTTCATTACAATGGGCCTAGCCAGTTGGATAAATCCTATTTAATTTAATGGGACTTACTCCCAGGTAACCCTTTTCTCCTTAGACTGCAGTTGGGTGCATGCTTAATCTGGGAATAAGTCCCATTAAATTCATTTGGGCTCACCTCTGAGTAGACATGGATAGGGTTACATTGTTAGGTCCACCATTTTAGACCAGAGTAGAACACCCAACAAGATGCAACGTTTCTTAGTGTCTTGCTCCCAGTTCTGGGAATATTGGATTCAGAATCATTTATGATGGAAGGGAACTTTATTACATGTTTTCTTTTGGTGTCTTTGTATCCCTACTCTCTCAAATGAGCCTGGAGGTGATGTAGCCCTCATTTTCTCCTCAGGACAGCCTTGTGAGTGAGGTCAATACTTGAATTCAGGTTTATGGCCAAGCAGGGATTTCTCAGGGCTAGGCCTTTGTATGGGGAGCAACCCAAGGCAAGCCAGGAAGCAGAATCATAGAATTGTAGAGTTGGAAGGGACCCTGAGGAACATCTGGTCCAACATCCTACGATACAGGAATATGCAGCTGTCCCATACGGGGACTGAACCTGCAATCTTGGCATTATCAGCAACATGCTCTAACCAACTGAGCTGCTGAAGCAGCAGGGCATGTTATTGGTTGGGACCAAAGAACAAGTCGAGGGCAAATTGGGGGCAGGCCTGAGGTGCAAGCCAAGATGCAGCAGGAAGCAGAACTGAAGACTAATTGAGGAGGCAGGATCAGGCACAACAGGAAGGCTTATTTGCTTCTTCCTGCCCAGGAAAATCCAGTGGTTGGATGGAGTCAGGAAAGTTCTTCACTGGGAAAGCTGCAATAATAAATAATAATAATAAAAGTATATTTATATCCCGCCGTCCCCAGCCGAAGCCTGGCTCAGAGCGGCTAACAACAGTAAAATAATACAGCATTCTAAAATCAATTCATTATAAAATCAGTTCAAATCAAATTAATGGCAACCATTGGGCTAGAGTTTTGTGAGGATTACAGAAGGAGGGGGTCAGGCTGTGCCTTGGCCAAAGGCCTGGTGGAACAGCTCTGTCTTGCAGGCCCTGCAGAAAGATGTCAAGTCCTGCAGGGCCCTAGTCTCTTGTGACAGAGCGTTCCACCAGATCGGGGCCACGGCCGAAAAAGCCCTGGCTCTGGTTGAGGCCAGCCTAACCTCCCTGTGGCCCAGGACCTCCAAGATGTTTTTGTTTGAAGACCGTAAGGTCCTCTGTGGGACAAACCAGGAGAGGCGGTCCCATAGGTACGAGGGTCCTAGGCCATATAGGGCTTTAAAGGTTAAAACCAACACCTTAAACCTGATCCTGTACTCCACCGGGAGCCAGTGCAGCTAGTATAGCACTGGGTGTTCAGCTGCGGTTCAGTATTTCACCACACAGGGCAGCCACACACAAATCTTGCAGTCTCTGATATCATCTCTCCCTGCTGCAAGTCAGATATTCTTTTTCTGATTTGGGTGTAACAGAGTCAATATGCTGAACTTCCAGCAGGAGAGCCAGCTTAGCCCTGCAACTGTGGGTTCCTGGCACATTGGTGCCATGCAGCGTGCATGGCCCTGGCACCAAAATTTGTGGGTGCCCGGCCCCTTCGTGGGGAATTTTGTGGGTGCTCAGTCACCCAAGGCCCCAAGGAGTTGGCACCTATGACTTCCAGTAGGCGGCTCGCTTTTACTTACCAGTAGGGTGTTGAGATTGGCTCAATGCAAACTCGCCAGCAAAGCCAATCTGGTGCATTTGCACCACATCAATCTCCCTGCCAATTTACCCCTAACCCTTACAGTAACCAGCGGTGATCCACCTGCTAGGAAGCTAGCATAGCATCCCTGCCCCATTCCAGTGAGGCACTCTGGGGATGTATGTATTACCAAGCCATAGTTTAGCAGTGCATGAGTCCGGTCCCTGCTCCCCTCTCCTTTGGTAAGGCCATGAAGAGCTGATAAGCATCAGCATCCATTTTAAACTAACCACAGTTGGTTGTTTTGTCTAAACCCAGACCAATAGTTAGTTTTAATTCCGGTTTATCCAAACAAGCCAAGATCA